TTTTGTGATTTTTATCCTTAATAAAACAAACTGCATACAATTTATTTAAAAATAAATTATGTCATAACTTTTAATTTGTCCCACAAAAATTATTTTTTGCAGAATTTTTAATTCATTTTTGAATTCAACCATTTTTAAGTATAAAATTTTTAAAAAAAAACAGTAACGGTCAAAATGATCGCTTTGGGCGTTCTAGTGTTAAATAAATTAGAAAAGATCAGAATCAGAATATTCGTCGTGATGTGATTAAATTTTTCTTGTAATTCTTAGCAACTTATGATAAGACGAACACTTTTCTCAAGAGATGGAATACTAAGACGAGGTGGAACACGTTTGTGATATGTGAAATACCAGCTATAATGTCATCAATACTCCTCGGTGGAACAGCTAAGGAATAGCCTTCATGGGTCTTATATATGTGTTTTTATTGTTTATTTTCTTCTTTGTTATTATAGTCAATTAAAAATTTGACGCTTAAGAATAAAATGGAGTTAAAAGTAAGCTTTTTTTTAATACTGTATCTCTAATATTTGAGAATATTTTTAATAAATATAGATGCATGCGCGGTAAGTCTTTTGTGGGATGATTGATAAGTCAGTGAATCTACTGTGATTATTTTACTATAGAATATAAATATATTAACTTGAACATACACCTGAACACAAAGTCAATGAACTCTTATGCGTCGATAAGTTGGCCCAGAGAGAACAGATAAAAATTTAATGGTTAATGCATTAATATTATGTTACGTTACTTTCTCACTTATATATTTTCTTTTGAAAAATGATGATAGAGGAGTTTTTGTTGTTCTAGAAAGACCCTAATTTTCAGTTGTTATTTCTACATTTATATTATCCTTTTCTCTAAAGAATAAAAAAAAACATTTTTCAGTATAATTCAGCAATTATCGCTGTTTTTTTCTAGTTAGATTTTCTCGAGCCATGATGTGTGTTTCCATTTAATTACGTACGTACCACCTCTAGATAAAAAAAAATTTTTAAGATAATAAAGCTATTACAGACGTAAAAGTATTTCTATTATTTTATTAATATTTTTTAGAAAAATGTAAAACATATGTTATAGAACGGTAAAAAAGTTTTCTGTCGTGTGCATAATGTTTTAGTCTTCGCAAATTTAATTAAGTAATTATTTTCATTAGCTAATTAATCGAACAGACCCTTTTAATTATATCTCATTACAATTGGCCTTGGCTTAAATGGCAACTTGTCATAACTTACTCATAGACAATTTAAACAGCTTCATTACTGGCACTAGATTTATCTAGAATAATTAGAAAACTGAAACACATTTAATCAAAATAGCATATATTATTAACTATGATATTGTCAGAGCAGATGGCAATGATGGTAACTTTTAAAAGTTTGTCATAAATTGTTAACTTCTCAGAAGAATTTCGACATCGTGTTTACAATGAAAACTAATAAAATAAGAAAAGAAAAGCGATATAATCCTGTCAAATATAATTGTAGACTTGAGCTGTTTTTTTTATTATATATAGATATAGATATATTTAAGTATAATAAAGCGACGTGTCATGGTCCTGTATTTCACTCTCTCTCTCTCTCTCTTTCTCTCTCTCATTTACTCTTATTTTTTCCTAAGGATATATGTGCAATGTATAGTTCTGTATTAAATAACATGGAAAATGAAGGGAAGAGAGAGAATAGTAACAACCACAAAAAAGAAAAATAGTGAAAGATTTATTATAATGAAGGTTAAATCACGCTAGATCTTGTTTTTTACCAAACAGTTATAATATCTTTACATCCTTGATTCTTTTTTTTAGATATACATTTATGTTTTTGTCTAGAGAAAATAATTTGATGGAATGAAGATCGTTATCATGAGCCTTGTGCATGTATGAAAAGAGATTTATCCTTCTTTTTCTTTTTTCTTAAAGGTGACTCCTTTTTTTTCCCAAAAAATTCTAATTACTCGCAGTGCCATTATGGTGGCAATGACAATGATAATTTTTTGTAGTGTTAAAAGAAGATTTTCTAATCATTTCATAAAGAAATAAACTTGAAATGTAGATCTAATATCTCTCAACGAGCGAACAAAGCAGAACTAAAAAAAAGAAACTGCTAACAACCTACTGAGAGGTAATCTATGTTTTATTTGTGTATGTATTTGATCTTAACTCTCTACCTTGGATACATTATTCAAAATGATGTCTTTCATTTACGCAGGTTTATTGCTTCTTCTTTCGAAATGTAGTAAAAAGCAAGAGTGTATGAGAAAGTTCCGAAGAAATGATATTGTTCAATTTTGAATGGTGTTTCCTGAAATATTGTAATATCAACGGATTAGTTTTGATGATAAAGTGGGTCTTTGTACAAAACTTTATAGCTCAAATGATAATCTTCAAGATATTTCGATATTTGTTCAATCTACGATGAATTTTTTCTTTTGTCCTAGATCTCGTTTGTGTTTTATCTTTTTTCTTTTTTCATTCTTTATTTATTTACTTTTTTGCTTTCTCAAAAGTAAGAACAAATGATATTGAATTATCCATGTTGAGGAAACTAAAAACAATCTAGAACCGTGTTCATTCTATGAATAAAAAGGGATCATTATGTATGCTTATCTCGAATTATCAAATATTACTCGAACAGATTCAACGATACAATCACTATCATGGATGAATGGCAATAGTGATATTGGAACTACATTGATAAACAACAATGAATTAGTACAATCAACATTACCAGATAAATCAAAGGTATATTTGAAATTAAAGTTCTGTAGTATGTTTATTTCTTTCTTTCTTTTCTAGGATGGATGGTTAGCTACTGGAAATAGTAACCATATTGTTAGCATTACTTACACATCCGTTCGAACAAATGAAGAGCAAGAACATATTCATTCACTCGATCGAACAAATTTCAATTTAAGAGCTCATCGTATTGATGTAAGTTAAGTGAGAATGATTATAGATTAATTTGTTTTCTATGTTTCATTTTTAGGTAAAAATTGTAGTGTGGAATATTCCTTATCAAAAATTAGCTACTGTCGACGAAAAAGGAGTGATTTTTGTTTGGGTCAAACATGAATCTCGATGGTCTTTAGAATTAATAAATGATCGAAGTCAACCTGTAACTGATTTAGCGTGGTCTCATGATGGACGAATGATGGTTATTTGCTATATCGATGGATTTGTTTTAGTTGGATCTGTTACGGGTAAAAAAATAGTTCTCGATCTATTTCTTACTTTAATGTCAATCAAAATTATTCAGGTCAACGATATTGGTCAGCTGTAGTCAATACGGCTCAAAGTACAATAATGGCTGTGACATGGACACCAGATGATACTCATGTAAAAATCAAAATCTGAACGTTTTTTCGCATTTTTTTTAAAGTGCATTTTTTTCATTAGGTTTTACTTGGTACATCTGATGGTGGTGTAATTTTAATGGATTATAGGGGCAATACAACAGAAATTTTTTCATTTTCAACATCTTCAATAACACAGTTACTTTATTCATGTGATAAATTCTATGTCAATTACCATGTACTTGAAGCTGATCAACGGCGTAAGCGGTTTTCTTTTGAAAATATTTAGTTATAGATAAACTTTATCATTATTCTTGACTTATATTTAGGTATGGTGAAATTTACGAATGAAGACTATGTTTTGGCTTGTAGTTTGAAATCTGGGCAAGTTATGTTTATGGTAAATTATATGGATCAAACAGCAGCCATTATAGAAACTGGTTTACGAAGTAATAAAAGAGATAAAACCACTCAACTTGTGTGATAAATGTCTAACTTTTATTTAAGACATAAAAATGGATTGGTCCACATCACAAATCCTCGCCGTTAGTGGTCATGAACGAATGCATGATGTTGAATGTGATAATCAAATCCTATTTTATAATCGTACCGGTCAACTATTATATAACCTACATATACCAGATACAGTATGTTTTACTTTGATTAGCATGTGCTCGTGTTTATTTTACTGTTGAGTATATAAGATTCGTTTTGAACGAAGAGGCCATCGTATAATCATTGCACGGACCAGAACTCTTATAAAGCGTGAGAGATGTTGGTATTTTTAATTTTTCTTTAGTCTTGTCCGTTGTCTGCATTATGTTGGGCTCACGGTGATCAACGATTGTTTATTGCATGTGGAACAGCAGTCTATACAGCATGGGTAATCCTTGAGTCATTTCCATCCATGTTAAAATTGTGTCAGATGAAAGTCAAACAACAGATATTAAGAAATTCTTTATATAATATTGAAAAACTAATATTACCACCAAAATTAAAACACCAACTATGTGAATTGTACAGATCAACAATAAAAGGCTTTATTCCAAATAAGAATACTTTACGAACATTTGTTTGCGAACCGCTGAAGCAGCAATTGAGATTACAATGTACTATGAAACGTGTCGATCATAATAACAGTAATAATGATACAAATGATAATGAATTCTCATCCGCTTCCTTGTCTTCATCGTCTAACAATAACAATGGCAATGGAGCGACATATGTGTTATATTTAGAATATTTAGGCGGACTGATACCGTTATTATCAGCCAAACGTGTGTCAAAAATTTGTCCAGATTTTATTATATTTGATCCACAAGAACCAGTAACTGATAAGAGTGATAAAACACCAATAGTAACGCCTACCCACTCGTTTGTTCGTCCTCGTTCAAATACATTTCATAATATGCCATCGATTAATTCATTAACAAAAAAATCTTTAGCAGTGACAAATCGTACCAGTCTAATAGCCAATCGTAGCTCGGTATTTATTGCAAAATCACTCGTACGGGAACGAGGTGAAACGCCGGATGACACATGGAAAAGTAGTTCAGGCTGTAGTTCGGGAAACGATTCAGATGCAGAAAATATTACATATTCAGCAAAAAAACAGCAGCAGTCACCTCAGCTACAATATTCGAGAAAGAAAATACCAAAAACATTAAAACATAAACATGTAAGGAATTAATTTACTTGACTAAATTAGTCAATTCTTGATTGATAAATTTTTCTTCTAGACGAATAAGCTATGTACAATAGCAGCGAATATATGGGGTACAAGATTTAAATTTCTTGGTAATTCATCTTATTTGCCTGAATATCTTGGTACTGTGACCTATAAAACATCATTTTTACATTTACAACCAAGACAAATGACCGTAACAGTTTGTAATAAATCAACAGTTGATAACAGCAACAAAGAATGTAACCAAGATGGAAGAAAAAAAAACAAGAATAAAATAAGTAAAGTCGACAAAAATATTGAAGATGATGATAGTGGTAAAATAAAGCTTCTGAATTTATTACGGAGAGATAATGTTTTCATCTGTTTTAGTTGTTTTGGATTCACATCAATCACAGAAAGTTCCTTCGACATGTAATTTTAATTCATCGATTCCTATAGCTCCAATGAGTCCTCAGTTGAAAAGTGTTCATTCAATACTATTATTATCTGAACAGAATTCGAATAAAAAACAGAACGACTCAACTACGGCAAAAACTATATTTCATTCATCTACATCACCCTCGTCTATACGTCACTCTCCTCGTACCAGTCATCGTCATCATAAACTACATCGACATGATACAAATAATGATTCATCAGCAGCTAATTCTTCATCAACTTCCCCCATTAATCTCAGTCGTTCAACATCACCTGCTGCTTCTTTAGCAAATTTTATTCGTCCAATATCTCCACCGTGTATTAAAGTAAAAGAACCTTTATCACCTAAATTCAATCGGGCATTATCGACCTCAACTACAAGTTATCGTCATTGTTCATCCGCGAATACGACATCGTTAACAACTACCAGTACTACCACAGTAATTCGGCATCATAAAAGTACAGTTGAAATGAAGAACGTCCAATCTACTGTAGCTAATATTGATGCTTCAACATCGAGTGCAACAAAGACATTATTAATTGATGATTCATCCGGTTATGATAGCGAAGTACAAAAATTTTCAACATCAGATATTCAACAACAACGTCCAGAAAATTGTTTTGAACCAGATACGTATCGTGATTCGTATGTTGACTCAAATTTTTCTGCTCAACAAAAATTAAGTTTGAGTGATCCAACATTAAATCAAACAACGAAATTGAATAATGATAAACGATTAAATCAACAAAAAAATACAATTTCATCACCAAAGCAATCGAAAATATTAGAACACGCCTCTTCTTCATCATTACAACATCAGCAAATATCAACAAATGATGAACATAGTAAGCAGCGAGAAGACGAAAATCAAGATGAAATACAACGAATTACAGATAATGACATTGGTAATCAAAAACCTCTTCGTCGAACACCAACTAGGGCTAGTGTAACAGATAGAATTCAAACAACATCGATGACTAACAATCATCAGCAAAAGGTATAGATGCAAGTTTGCTTCTATAGTTCCAACAAAGTCTGATTAATTTTGAGTTTGATAGGTATAAATAGTTATGAGCAAATATCAAGACAGTCCAGATTAACAATACTAACCAGTTTTAAATGTTCCATAGAGAAAATTCAACTTTACCCTAACGAGATTGATAATTTTGTCCATATTTTTATAGAAACGGGCGAGAAGCGTCGCTTTTTGTAGATTTAACAGCGTTTGACTAGAGATTAAATATATCGCATATTCCAGCCCAATATTTCCCGTAAAAGGTGGATAAAATAGCTGAGCATATGCTTAAGCTGGAAAAAAAAATTTAATGTTACTTTTCGTCGTGACAAGGAACTGCCAAGATCTCCTTGCTTCACTATAGTTTGTTCCTAATGTGCTTCGCCTACTTTGGTATGGACAAAAAATTTATGATCAAGGATTAGAGCATATATTTTTAATTGTTTCTTTGAGTTGGCTTGGTATTCCACCCCTCGACATCGAATGATGACGTGTACAAGTGGAACAATTGAATCACTCTGTGAATCCATTGTAACTCGACAATCAACAGAAGATTCAGATTTATGTACCTATTCGATGCAAAATCGTCCTCCAATTTGGAATGAACTTTCTCATGTATATCAGTTAGATTTTGGCGGTAGAGTTACACTAGAATCGGCAAAAAATTTTCAAATTGAATTGAAAGGAAAACAGGTAAAATGACATATATAACTGCATTTATGTTTAACTATGTGTAAATTTTCGATTTCTTTGTAGGTAATGCAATTTGGTCGTATTGAAAATCATATGTACACATTGGATTTTGAATGGCCATTTTCTTGCGTGACAGCATTTGCAGTTGCATTAGCTAATGTTACTCAACGATTGAAATAAACGTCTATTGTTATTTCGTTGTTCTTATTTTTATATTTAAATACATAATATTTTAGTTTTGAAACGAATGATTTTTTTTTTTGTTCTTATTTTTTTCCAGATGAACATACATATTTTTTTTAAAATTTTATCTTCATCTGTGTTTCTTGTTTTAGCTGTTTTTTTTCTTAACGCATATTCATTTCATTTGATAGAGAAAAACATTTGCATATATTCATTCTTAAATGTTCGTATTTGCTTTTCGTTTTGTTTTTTATTCACATTATTCTATTTTGAAAATAAGAAATTTACATTTTTTTTCTTTCGATTTTTATCGTTTATATTGATCATAACAACTGTTTCTAATAGATTGAATGAGAACAAGAAATAATAAGGATACTCCTGGGAATATACTTGAAAAAATCAATGTTCAAGAAGGTAGATTATGTTTCATCCAAGCTTTTGTATTGATAAGAACATTGAGCTGAGAAACAAGGCTAAACTGGTGGAAAAAAATGTCCCATCTTACATCTACCGTTACCAGTATAGAATGTTGATACATCAGAGTTCTTTCTTCACCCAACTGCTTCAGCTTCCCATAGATACTTACTAATTTGCTAACATTTAGAACATTGTGACCAAAAAACATTATAACTCTGTAACATTATTTTGTAATCAAATATGATTACGTGAAAATATCAATAAATTTATAATTCAAAAACAATTTATAAGCGTCGTAGTTATATTCTGTACTATGCTATTTTTGGATGAATAATAATAATGAGCTCTACTATGTTGATTTCTTAAAGAATATTCTGTTTAAAAAAAATCGAAAATATCACGACGGATACCAGGAGTCAAAGATAACTTTTCATTTCCATTTTATTTAAATGTTTACTCTTCTAGGAATTATCAAACTATTTTTCAGCTTTAAATTCGAACTGTATTTGTCTATCTTTCTTTTCAGATGTTTACAGCACATGTTCGTTTAACAATTATTCATTATTTTTGTTTCTTACCGTTTTGTATTTGATACTCTCAACGATAGCGAAGATGGTGACGACTCAGTTATTTTTTCGATTATATACTAGGGGCTTGGATTGACGGAGTCAATTGGTCTGCTGACTAAGATCTTCAGATAATGTTTAATAGAGGACAAGCAAGTTGATGCGGGTGGCTCAATTAATCACAAAAAATTCATTACTTATCATCGGAAAAAAATAAGATGAGAGCGAGTTCAAGTACTTATAACTTTTTAGCTAAAAGAGCTAGAGACCTTCACCATTAGAAAGAGCAACTCAGGGGACACAAACTCATCGAAAAAGAAGAATTTTCTGAAAGTTTTTACAGGAAAATTAAAAAATTCATAACCCAGCCAAGATCCATCCAAATTACGTCAGAATATAAAGATGTACTCTATTTTACCTGTTCTATATGTTTTTTTACTTGAGAATAGTAAAAAAACATTGCTGTACTTTGGAAGATTTCTAGAAAACCCTTTCAAAAATCAAAGTATTTTCTGTTGACTTTTATAGCTTTTTATTGAGCTGCATCATATAGGGCAGGTAAAATAGAGTACATCTTTATATTCTGACGTAATTTGGATGGATCTTGGCTGGGTTATGAATTTTTTAATTTTACTCAAATATAGGCAAAAATTGAGACCGGTCTGATTTGTGAACATCTGCAATTTACGTAATATCTAGATGTTCAGATATGCAGATATCTTCCTCTTTTCTTTCAATGCGCGAATATCAGGAAGCGCCTCACTCTCATCTTCCCTTGCCGCCCCCACCTTCCCTTTTCCCCATTTCTATAACATTTGAATATCTAAATATCTAACTTGAATATCTGAATATCTGAACATCCAGATATACATCTAGATATATTATGTAAATTGCAGATGTTCACAAATCAGACCCTACTGAATTTTCTCAACTTTCGTCTGCTAAATTTAGCCTGTGAAAACTTTCGGAAAATTCTTCGTTTTCGATGAGTTGCTCTTTCTAATGGTGAAGGTCTCTAGCTCTTTTAGCTAAAAAGTTATAAGTACTTGAACTCGCTCTCATCTTATTTTTTTTCTGATAATAATTAAATTTTCTAAAAAACTTTGACTCAATACCTTTTGATACGCCTGATCTTTCGTATGCTATATCGAATGCTAATCCAACATTATTTTCAATGATAATACGTTATATACTAATGTTTTGAGTACATAAGCTTCTATAAAATATATTTATATATAGCTTCTATATATAAATATTGGATAAAAACTTGTATGAACTGATGAAAATATCCTCTCAACATTTGTTAACTGAACAAAATTAAAGGAAATTCACTAAAGAGTTAACACAAGTGGTTGTGTTGACAAATTACAGCCCATCGAGTAGTCACATGAATATCACGCACGTCAAAAGTGATCATTATTTCCCTTAAAGTTTAAACTAGTAGAAAAAAATATGATATACAAATTGTTATAGTGATATTAAAATCGCTGAAGGAGTTACAAAACAGAAATCAAATGATCAGAACAATGATGATGATGAGAAAATGTGTTTATTGTATTGATCAGTCCATAGTCAATTGGTTCACGCTATTAAATATGATTTTTATAGCATTTGTATTACACAAATGTTGTCCTGCCACCACCGACACTGAATTCAACTAATTACTGAAGGCAAACCACAGTTATATCTATGGTAAACTCAGTTGTTCTCAATTTACCTTAATGGATGATGAGTATAAACGTTTAAACATCATATTTTATACAAAATCCAAACAGAGGTGTTGAGACAGTAGAAATGAGAAAGATACTTTTTACCCTTCCTTTCACTATTTATTTCCGAATATGAGAATAGTTCAACTTGATTTCGTAAAATTCACTCTCATTTTGAAAACAATGTCTTCTTTTTTTGACTTTGAATCAAAATTATCTTTTCTGCACAACAAATCAATGCCGATTATAAATAAACATTCGACAATGGAGAGAGTAAAAACATGAAAACTGACAAATCGACGAAAATGAATTATGATTAAATATTTATGAAAGGCACTTATACTATCGTAAACGAAATCTGTTAATTTGCTTATCCAAAATATTTTTATTCACAAAAATGGCATTAGTGTCTAGTGCTACTCTTTCTTTATTAATCTTGTTTTGCGAAAACTATTTCTCAAGTATTGTTCCATGATAGTGTTCATGATAATGTGTATATATTTCGCTATATTTTTTGTGTCGTTATTCAGAATTTCACCGTATTTTTGCTAGTTTTTTTGTTTAGATGGTTATACTTTTGTCGTAATGTTTTAATAGTTTAAGAACATTGAAAAGGTTTAAACAGTTGCTAGTTTTTAGTTAATACTCTATCACGTTTATAAGCTTATTTTGACTGAATTTAGACTATTTTATGTGAGATGTTGTTTTTTCGATATATCTGTTATTTTTCTAGCTCTGAAAATGTTTTTACAAATCACTATGGGTAGTTTGCCTCAAAATAGCGCTAATAGAGACAATTCCTGACTTATTTTTTAATTTTAGATTGAATGGATTTATTGCAAAAAGAACAGAAAAAGCTTGAAACGGCTACCGCCTCTTTGATAGCGTTAAAAGCGGAACTATTTCGCAAACGGAATGATTTTCAAACGCAATTGTCTTCTACCTCATCGACGTCGATCACATCTCAAACACCATTAAAATCGAAAAATGACGAACAAATATCACAAAAAAGAAAATTATCTACTTCTAAGGAGCTACTCAGACCTACCACATCGATAACACCGACAATGTCTCGTGAAGAAGAAATAGCATTTTCTAAATCACGAGCTATTCTTGAAGTTAAATCGAAAGTCTTTGATGAAATGATGAAAGACGGACATATGGTACGCGATGATGATGATGATGATGATGATGATGATGGTGATGATGATGGTGAAATGTGTTTAGTGGATTTTGAACGAAAACTATACGAGGATAATAATAATACAACAACAACAGAACAAACAACTATTTCGCCCACTAGTGACGATAAAGACGAACAATCTGAATCTGGAATCGATCGCGCTGAACGTCTACATCGAGAACAAATGCGCGAGAAACGGGAACAAGATATACAAGCAGCTTGTGATAAAACACAATTACATTATCAAGATGTATTGTTTGACGGAAAAGGGGAACATGCTGTAGGATATTATCAATTTTCAAAAGATGAACAAACACGTGCAGAGCAAATGAATACGTTAAACGAATTGCGAACGAAAACAAAACAAGATCAAAAAACAAGTTTATTAGAAAAAGAAAAGCGGCGACAATTTATGGCTAACAGACTGAATAAAATCCGACAACGAAAAGCAAAAGAACTTGAAATAACATCAGAGGACGGTGGAGTAACAGATGGACAAGCAGAATCATCGGACATTCAGTCGGTTGAAAAAGCTCAAAATAAAGCGGAAACGATCACAACAATAGATCAAGAAGAACAGAAACAAACATCAGTTCAACAACTATCCGAACTACTTTTTCAGCCTCCGCCACCACCTCCATCATCTGAAGAAGTAATACCATTCGTCGTACAAGCACATCATCAACAAGCGCCTATTTTCTATCCACATTCTCTCTCATCAATATTATGTGAACAACCGCAGTCAGCTGTTATTTCTGTTCCCGCTTCTACTTGTTCTGCCTCATCGTGGATCGATCAAACTAAATCGAAATCAACAGATGAAGTATTAAAACCAATTGAAGAAAATAAAATATCCGTCATCGATGACAAACAGGAAGAAGACGACGAAGAACGAAAGAGAACTGAATTGGCCAAAAAGGCGTTGTTTCCAAGATCAAATGGGCCATCATTTCCTGAATTAATGGATAATCTGCGTGGTGAACGAAGGTAAGTATTATTCAGCACTCGTTTGAACGTTTTAATTTAAATATAACGTTTAAACATTAGCTGGAAAGAATCTACTAAAACCATCAATCTTTTGGTTTTATTTTAGACTAGAATTTGCACCAATTTATAAAGATGATGAGGAAGAAGGAAAACCAAAAGTAACGACGAAACCAGTTGGAAGTTTGCTGGCAAAACGCATTAAATGGGATGAAATTAACAAGAAAAAAGACGTTCCGTATGGGCGATATGGCTCAATGAACAGTAATAATAACAATAACAATTATTATCAGAATCCATATGAACAGTATTATAACAATGCCAATAATCAGCATTATCAACAACAACAACCGCGACAAACACCACGGTATCAGGTAAGAAGAATGATTTGTACTAAGACAAAACACTTCAGTTCTAACTAAAAAGTCTAACGTTCTTGTTTTATCACGTATAGAATCCTCAGCATACACAAACACAAGAACAAATACAGTATTATCAACATCAGATGCAACAACATCAAGGTCAAATGCGTCAACAGATGGAACAAGTTTATAATTCTTACCAGGGTGACAATAACAACAATGCCAATAATCAGTATTCGTCTTATCCGTACGGAACCCACGATCCTTACCTACCCTGGTATCCATATCAACAACAGCAATCGGATTTATCGTCACAAGGGCAGTATTGGTCATAAGCTCCACCGCAGATACCGTATAATCAATGAATTTTGTTTTTCGTTTTTGTATATAATATTTTTGTTGTTACAATTCTTTTCTTTAGTATGTAATTGGAAGTTTTGTCGAGATAAAGTGTAAGACAAAACGATATATTCGAGCAAAAATAAGTCAATATCTTTTAGGGTTAATAATCAATCTTTGAAAGATAGGAAATGAACGTTTGCCATTTACTGTTGGACAAATATATCATGATCATCAGATATGCAATAAAAAAACTCAAGAGTAACTTATTTACTAATGGGACAGATTTGTTCTTTCTCGGTGGTATGTAATAAACGGAAGCAGAAGAAAACTACCGATTTAGGGCGAAGATAGAAAGATGAAAAAACGCGAAATAGTTATCAATCGAAGCACACCCAAATCAAGTGTAATTTAGGTGCTCATAAAAAATACAAAATGTTCAATTCAATTTGGTAAAATCAATTAGACACGGAATTTGCATATTGTGATACATCACTAATTTATCACTTCCATATCAGAAGCAGATGTGGTTTAGAAGCAGCCATCATTTTATCGCGTCATTCATAATCAGCTTTTTCGGCTTATTGTTGCTGAACCTTTGGAAAACTTACTGTACGATCCATGAACATCATTTGTGCTCAATTCATTGATGCAATACAAGAACATTTCTACAAATTTTGAGCGAGTTTGGTTTGGCGGAAAGTGGTGGAAAGTCATTGCATTGACTACCTGACAGTTAGTCAGTGCAATTCAATTCTTTTTCGTGCTTCCAACTTTTTGAAAGCATCGTTCTCAGATTCAGCATTAAAAACTGAGTATGAGAATGATTTTCTCTGTTACATTTTGTTTGTTGTTGTTGGTTCTTATACCTTCTGAATTACTTCTAGATGACAAATCTAATACGTAAAGTTGTTGAAAATTAAACACATGAAATAATGTGTTATAATAAACAAATGAAACACATTTGCTGAAAATTTCGGATCAGAAATGAGTGAGTTATGCGAATTTGAAGTTTACATGGCTACAGACAAAAACCGGAGCAATATTGCCAAATCGGGCAAGATAAATGTTCAAAATTGAGCTATGTTTGCTATTCGTCTTTGTCATAACAAAAAGAGAAAGCAGATTGAACACATAACTTCAATATACGATGAATAATCAGTGCATTGCCTGTTCAGGCAATATTGCCCGATCGGGCAAGTGACAACGGACTGTCTATAGCGTACTTTCGTCATAGGACACAATAGCTCTTTCATTTCTCATAAAACTTTGAATCGTCAGTATTTTAATCTCCTCGAAAAGATGCTGTAGTGCTATTATACATAATATATTGTACATGTTACATTGCAGCGATAACTTGCAAATCTTTAATTTTTCCATTGTTTCTGTGATTTATAGAACTTCGATGATATATCAATGATTACGATCCAGCAGTTCCACTTATGAATAAATTAAATGGTGATGAACGTTACGATGACGCAGTTAAAGTATATGAACTTGGATGTGAACGTGGATTTTTTGCAACAGCATTAGGAAAATCAAAAGAAGCAGATGTTATGTTGTTAGCAATTGGAGCATTTAAGGAACAAGTATGAATTTATTAACTTTTTGTCAAATTGTGTAGGTACTTATGTCACTCTATCTTTAAATTTAGAATGCAAAAGAATCATTAGCAAAATTAGAAGAAGTATGAAAGAAACGACGATCGTTAAATGATATTTATATTGATTATAATCGTGATAGGGGGGGATAGGGAAAGTGATCAAAAACGTAAGTCTAAAGCATCAAGATAAGAGATTAACGTAACATTCTTAATTTTTGATTAAAAATTACAATAAACGATTTAAATTTAAGACCCTGTTGTGTCTTGTGACAAGACTCTTGTCACATGGCACATGTCGATACAAAATAAAAATATATGTTGCAACTAAATGGCACTTTTCTCACGTGAACGCCAATAACTTTTATTGATGCTGTGGTATTAAAATCTCATGCTCCTCTTATCTGTCACACTATCGGATTAATCGTTTATTAAATGTAGCTTCATTTGGGAATCAATTAGAAACAGAAAACGTTACTAAACACAGTTCGAACAAAGGCAAATGGGTCTTAAAGCCAAGAGACCTCAGACTTTCTTATTATATATGGCAATACAATTTCCGATTTTGCTGTTTCTATTCATATTTTTTTCTGTTTTCTTTTATTAAAATCAACAATGGACATCCTCATCTCCAATGAACGAGCATTCAATAGAATGAAAGAAGAAGAATTAAATAACAGATATTACTAGATGCCAATGGACAAAGAAAGGCGGACACATAATGTTAGTACCGATTTGTAGTGATTTGTATATTCATGATGAATATCAGTCGAGATTATTGATTGAGGATGATACTAGTAAACCTCTTCAGGTATTTTGACTAACGGTTTTGATGTAGGATAATGAGGATGTATAACAGATTCAAACTTATCGTATGATGGTAAGATGTTGGCTTATGTTCAAGATTATGAATTGTATTGTCTATCAACGCACGATGCACGTAGTCATTCGGATAAAACAAATGGTTTAGAGGAGTTTATTGCTCAAGAAGAAATGGACCGTTTTGAAGGTTATTAGTCAAAATTAATTGTATTTACACAATGTGATGAACATCATATACCAGTTTATCATATTGAACATCAAGGATCAGATTCATCCGAAGATTTTGAAGAACATCATTATCCATTTGCAGGAAAAGAGAATGTATATGTAAAATTGGGTATTGTAGAAATTGGATCAGGCAAATTACAATGAATTGATTTTAGTTCAGTGGAGAACAGACACATTTAAAGTTTTATAGATATATTTATGTAAAAGATTTGATATTAATCTCAAATCGGAGATCCTAGTTTTTGACCTATATTGAATGTTCCAAGGAGTGAACAAATTCTTGTATTTTGTAGAACATCAATAATGTGAAAGATTTATTGCTTTTGCAGAGAAACAAGCTAAAGTTCGACATAAAGAGTTACTTTAGCTAGTCTCACTAGTCGCGCCAGTAGAGCGACCTAAACTAAGATGCTCAAGTCACTTTCTGATTTTTCTAAAAACATAAATCATCACTTGAAAAGCATATTAGATAGAAATGAGAGATGGCTATGAAAAGTCTTAATTTTTTTTAGACAAACTTTTATTCATAAGAAACGATAAAAATAAAAAGAAAGAGTGCGCTAATGTCTATACAAAAAATGTTGGTTATTTCGATTGTATCGGCTATTGCATCAGTTTCTCTGTTGTCTTTCACTATTTCAGTATTATTGATCATCAAAAATCTCTCGAATTCTAAGTATCTTCATAATACCTTTGTTAAGGCAGGGGGTTCCCTCACTCTTTGTTATCCACCAGTTTGTAGAGGACACTTCAGAGTATATGTCTCAACAAAACTTTTGGTTCCCGGATTTGTAGTTTTTGATAAAACAAATTTTGAAGCTTTTTTCGGGTTATCTACCCTATTTTTAAAAATTCAATAAAAACTTCACTTTTTGATGTGAAGAGTTGATTCCAGCGTAGTTCCATAGAGAAGATTAACTTGTATAAGGAGAAAAACTTTTCATTGTTTCCGAATGAAGTTTGAGGCAGAAATTTAACTTTCACCTTCTCGAGGAAATTTTAAAGCTAAAAGTATTTTGAAAAAAGCCTTAGCCTTGGCTACACAGTGGGCATCCAAGCGGAAATTAGGCGAAAAATTCGATCTGCTCATTTTTCAAACATGAATAGTGCAAAATGTAGCCCTTTTAATTCTCTATCGAATGGTGTATAAATGTCTATTTTGATGTCGTCTCCGTCGAGGAGAAATAAGGACACGAAAAGTATATGACGAATATCGAAAAACATGA